CGCGGCCGCGGAGGGGGCGGCGGCGGCGGAGGCCGCAGCGGCGGCGGGGGCGGGGGCCGCGGCGGCAGCAGCACCGGCCGATCCGGCGGCGGAAGAGGCGACGGGCGAGGGTAACGTCGAGCCCGTCGTAGGGGTGGCGGGCGGGGTGCCGGGCTCAACCTCATATGAGGGAGACGAGGACCCAAGGGCCCGCTCAGACTCGACCTCGGGGAGGGGGTCACAAAGCCGGGTGGTGGCAGCAGATGGCGCCGGGCCGGGGAGGCCGCCGGGGGGTGCCGCCGCGCATCGCTCCACGAAGGGGGCGCGGGGGCAGGTGCCGAAGGGGCCGAAGCCGGAGGAACATGGAAAAAGGGAACACCATCTCGACAAAGTACACGCGCCTCAAGGTGTACACACGATGAGTGACAGGATCATAGCACCGGTAATTTTTGGTGTTAGGAGGGTAGCCAAGGAAGACGCATAGGACAGATCGTGGTGTGAGCTTGTGTGGCGTGGTGGACGCGGTGCTAGGATAACAGAGACACCCGAAGATGCGGAGACCATCATAGGACGCTGGTGTGCCGAAGAGAAGGTGGTGAGGGGCGTAGTTCCCCCGAGGGCGACACGGACGAATGTTAACTAGGAGAGTGGCGGTGGCGAGAGCATCAGGCCAAAACCGAGCGGGCACGTTAGAGTGAAAGAGTAACGTGCGAACGCAGTCATTAAGAGTGCGGAGAATGCGCTCGGCGCGGCCGTTCTGCTGTGAAGTGTATGGACAAGTCAGACGAAAGATGGTTCCGTGAGAGGCGAGAAGCATGCGGAGAGCGACGTTGTTAAACTCTTTTCCGTTATCCGTCTGGAGTGCGAGTATGGGGCGACCGAATTGGGTGGTGACATAGGAATAAAATGCGGTGAGTGTGGCTAAAGCATCGAATTTACGACGAAGGGGAAAAATCCACACATAATGAGAATAATCATCTAAAATCACCAAGTAGTATAGATAGCCCGTGTTACTCGCAATGGGACATGTCCAAACATCATTATGAAGTAATTGAAATGGAAAAGTGAAAACTAAAGTAGACGCACTAAATGGAAGACGAACGTGCTTGCCTAAGCGACAAGCCCTTTGCTTCATCTAAACATATGCTAATTTGACAACATATTTCAACCTAACCCCAGAGATTTGACTAATTAACACAAAGTATAAACAAGGTGGAGGATTTGATGAGAACCTGGAGAAAGATGGTAGAGCATG